GGAAACTTTTTTAGGTGCAATCTAAACGAAAATCAAAATTCAAAAATGTGGATATAAGTGGAGTGAATTTAAATGGGGCTATTCTCTTTAACTGCTAATGGATGAACATAAAAATACATGGATTGAATTCATTAATTGCTAATAGTAGTACTGTTAAATCTGTTTGCTTTTCGCCTGATGGTACTTCCTTAGCATCTGTTGGGGGAGAAACGGAGTATGAAGAAGGAAATTTTTATATATGTTTATGGGATATTAAGACAGGGTATCAAAAAGCCAAATTTAATAATCGTAGAGGAAAAATCTTGTCAATATGTTTTTCTCCTGATGGAACAACAATAGCATCTGGTAGTAGCGATTAATCTATCTTTTTTTTCGATATTAAGACTAGAAAAAAGAAAGCCAAATTGGATGGTCGTAGTAATTGTGTCTCCTTAGTGTGCTTCTCACCAGATGGAACTACATTAGCATCAGGTAGTTTGGATAACTCTATACGTCTATGGAACGTTAAGACAGGATAATAAAAAGCTAAATTAAATGATCATACTCATTATATCCTATCAGTATGCTTTTCGCCAGATGGAACTACATTAGCGCCTGGTAGGATAACTCTATCCGTCTATGGGATATTAAGACAGGATAATAAAAACTAAAATTGGATGGCCATTAGGATTCTGTCTAGTCAGTATGCTTCTCACCAGATGGATATACCATTGCATCTGGAAGTAGAGATAAGTCAATTCGTTTATGGGATGTAAGATAAGGAAAATAAAAAATCAAAATTGGTCATATGAATGGTTTCTACTCAGTATGCTTTTCATTAGATGGAAAGACATTAGCATGTGGTAGTGATGATTAATCTATTCATTTATGGGATGTTAACTCAGGATAATGTAAGGCCAGATTGGATGGTCATCGTGATTATGTGTAATCAGTATGCTTTTCACCAGATGGAACTATATTAGCATCTGGGAGTAATGATAAATCTTTTGGTTTATGGGATATTAAGACAGGATAATAAAAGCCAAATTGGATGGTCATAATAATTTTGTCTCCTCAGTATCTTCTCACAAGATGGAACTACATTAGCATCTGGTAGTAATGATAAATCTATCGGTTTATGGAATGTTAAAACAGGATAATAAAAGCCAAATTGAATGGTCATACTAGTCCTGTTTGGTCAATTAGCTTCTCCCCTGATGGTACTACCTTAGCAAGTGGTAGTGATGATTAGTCAATTAATTTATGGGATGTTAAGACAGGATAATGTAAGGCCAAATTGGATGGTCATCGTGATTATGTACTATCAGTATGCTTCTCATCAGATGGATGTACATTAGCATCTGGTAGCGGAGATAAATCCATCCGTTTATGGGATGTTAAGACAGGATAATAAAAAGCAAGATTAGATGGTCATAGTAATTGTGTCTCATCAGTATGCTTCTCACCAAATGGAAAGATATTAGCATCTGGAAGTTATGATAAATCTGTTTGTATATGGAATGTAAAGACAGGAAAATAAAAAGACAAATTCGAAGGTCATAGTCATTATGTATTCTCAGTATGCTTCTCACCTGATGGAAGATTATTAGCATGTGGTAGTGATAAATTGATCCGGTTATGGAATATAAAGTAGAGATATGAATAAGCATTATTGGATGGTCATTATGATTATGTTAGATAAGAATGCTTTTCACCAGATGGAACTAGATTAGCATCTTGTGGAGATTAATCTATCCTATTATGGAATGTAATGGCTGAAAAATTGATAGCTACATTGGATAATTAAAGTGATTAGGTCCTATCAGTATGCTTCTCACCTGATGGAAAAAGATTAGCATCTGGTAGTTTTAATTGTTCTATCTGTGTATGGGATATAAAGACAGGAAAATAAAAAGAAAAATTGGATGGTCTTAGTCATAATGTATTCTCAGTATGCTTCTCGCCTGATGGAAAAACATTAGCATGTGGTAGTGATAAATTGATCCGTTTATGGGATGTTAAGACAGGAAAATCAATATAACCTTCAGATAAAATATATAAAGATCTTCTTACATAATTTTCAATTCCCTTAAATACAAACAAATCTCTTTTAGAAGGTATTATTTATAAATTTTATTTTAGTTAACTCTAAGGAGCTCTAATTTTTAAAGGAGTATTCGTAAATCATTAAGGTATAGATCTTAGATCATTATTGAAATAAAAAGGAAGTTACTTTTTGGAAAATTAATTAGAATAACAATTAAAATAGATTCCATGATTATCAATAACATTACAAAATTTTCTAATAAAAATATTTTTTTTTCTATTTTTACTGTTATAAATTCTCTTCATTTGATT